CGGTTTTTGTGCTCTTCACCATCAGCCATATTCACCATGTCCACCAAAGTGCTTTTTTCACTATTCTAAGGTTGCGGCTCCCAAACCCATAGCGAACTTGCCTGGTCTGCGGAATAAGGGAAACACCTGCTACGCCAATGCGGCCCTCCAGCTCCTCTTTCACTGTCCCGACTTTCGAGAGGCCTTGCTGTCCCAAAGCAACACTTCGATTTCGTCAACTCGTAATGCAGACTCACTGCAGAGCGTTAATGAACAAAAACCCTTTGGGGAGCTCCACAAGACCCTTTTAGAACTGTTTTACATGCTTTCGAGTGGAAAGGTAAGGCTGCTGTCTCTACAATGATGCTGACATCCGTATGCGTAATTAGGCACGCCATGTTTCCCTCCGTAATAATAAGAATCTCTCCACAAATATGCTTTCCTTATAGTGCTAAATTTCTTTTTACTACCATCATGACTATTCACGGAATTTAGGAGTTTTACACTTCTCAGGTCTGTCGCACGTTCCCGAGCTCGCATTTTAACGCGTCCCGGTAAATAGGTTGCTTCACTACCTCTAAACTCACAACTTTTTGTAATATTGGACAACGAGGTATGAGCATGCTCGTTTTGTCACTGTTTAGTCTCACTGTCTTACAGACTTGCGACCCCTTGCATGTCTGTAAGGCCTTGGTCTCCCGCAGCGAAGTGTGGTTTAGATAATAGCCGAGAGTCTGATCTAGGGGCTCGCAATGTTGCCTCCTAGTTTACCGAAATGTATCCACATATCGTATTTCTTACCGCAGCCCAAGCGTAACGTTGCTGGCCGATGTGAAAATGAATTCCTTACATGTAAACAGTCCCGTGTCCCTATGTAATGAACACTATCATCTTCAAGTACATCACTGTGGGTATCGTGGAAACTGTCAAATACTTGCCTTTTGCGGGCATTTGGTGGGCAAGTCACGCTCTTGCGGTTTCTGTGCCACGGCTCCAAAAATGCATTCTTTGTTTAAAAAAACTAAATAGGTGCGTGGTGTCCGTAGTGTTGGTATTGTTGTGAATTGCGTTAATTCACACTCGTTAATCCGATCACTCCAACCTCCGACACAAGGTCCCCCTTTTCACAGCATGTCGTCAGCCTCGCGGAACATCAACTTCCCCCTTGTTAGCACGACCGATTATCCTCGATTATCAACACGCATAGGTCTCGATGTTAGCACATTTATACTCACGGTGTTTCACACACTTGAGCTTTAGATACACACGCGCAAACGCCACGCACGATGCGACACCAAGTTGGTTGAGCTCTGAGGTAAACGGTTATGTCCACGTCCTCTCCGGTCTTTTTCTTCATCGCGGGTATCAGGGTAGCATAATCTGGCGAGAACCAACTCAGTGGCCCCGGCGTGGCTCGAGACCCCGTGCTGGGTCCCACAACACTGTCACCTGTTTGCCACAACCCCTTAAGTCAGCACAAGAAGTCATTCCTCGTGTTCAAAACAATCTTGTTTTTCATTAAATCTTTCCCTGTTACCCCAGGCAGAGGTGGCCAGGGATCCCTCAGCGGTTCTAACCCTCTCACGACCTCCCCACTTTGTACATGGGGAGCCGCAGGACTCAGCGGAGTACCTCAATCACCTGCTCGATTGTCTCCATGAGGAGGAATTAAAGGCGGCGGCGTCGACTTCTTCAGACTTCAGGCCCTCCTCGTCAATCGTTAGACGCTTATTTGGAGGTACTTTATCGCGGCGTACGATTTGTGCTGCCTGTCAACACGTCTCAAGCGCCGAACTAGAAGACTTCATTTGTCTTTTCCTTCCAATGGACTCAGACCACTCGGTGATTACTCCCATATTCGCTAAACATGCTTTTTTTCGCTGTTTTTAGTCATAGTTTATCTTTAATGACTGAATTTTATGCTTAACGGTTGATTCTGTGTCCTCAGTGGCAGCACATCTTGCCAAAGTGGTTGATAATACATACCTGCTTCCTGCTTATATTTGTCAGAAAGAGAAAATTACATTAGGTTGATATCAGCACATGTTTAAACATTCACTTCAATTTTCAGTGCTACTAGTGAGAAATCAGTCGTATTCGTTTATAGGTCGGCGCCGATAGTTCACGTGACAGGGATCCAGACCTCGCTTCGTTGGTGCGTGCACACTTTTCACGACCGGAGCAAGTCACTGATGCTGGGGATTGTGAGGTGTGTGGAAACAAAGGAAGTGGCACTCGGGAGCGTCGTCTCAGCATCCGACACCTTTCACCCAACGTCCTCATTTGTCTTAACCTTTTCACATACGACCATGCTACCCAAACCTGTCACAAAATAATGCAGCGTGTACGTATCAACGAACAGCTTTCGGTGCAAATTGCGCGCAATCCAACCATAGTTGGTAAGTTGCATGTTTCATGGCAAATGATAAATTGTCGTGATCAGAATTCTTTCACATCCACGCCAATTAACTGATCTTGTCAAGACGGTATTTGAGCACTGACTGGAGTTCTGTTTGATTTTTCTATTTGAGCGGGTTGGCGTATTATAAGAAACGAGTCACTTGTGCTGACTGGCAAAGACAAATCTTTGTTCTTACATCACCTCTGGATCTCGTCTAATAATGATGCGGTAGTGAGGTTATTAGTCGTCCAGACACGGACTGTGATCGAATCCTGGCCGATACGAATTGTGTACACAGTTTGTCATCACTGTGATAAGCATAACGGCAATTTTTTACTTGCACGCATTACGTGCATAGCAACGACGCGAGATCCCCACATCATAACAACATGCCATCTGGCTTAGGACAGTTGTTACCCTTCCCTTTTTAGGCAACCACAAACTTGCCGACGAGGAAGACGTAGCCAACGAATTTGTACTCTTTCAACTTAGAGGGATGATCATCCACCACGGCCTGTCTCTTGGCTGTGGTCATTACACCTGTGTAACTCGTGTCGGTCCTCGGTGGGTTTCCTTTGACGACGGAACAAGCAAATTCACCAGTCTGGACGCGGTGCAACGAGAACAGTTCGCAACGCCCTACCTCCTGCTCTATAGTAGAGCATTCTAAAAGTATCCATCACGCCCCACGCCCCTGTGTACATGAATACCAATTGCTGTAGCAAATGCCAACCTCGATTTGCTGACTTTCCACTGATCCTAGCAGAATGGGGGAACACTGCGCTTAGTTAAACGGAGGTCTCGCCCGTACGGGGCTTAGTTGAATCGGGCTACGTTTACCACCATTTTACATTTCTAAAGTCATCGTCCATGGTTTTGGGCCCCTATCCATCGATGCCAAATTGTTTCATAATCAACCCTGAAGTCGATATGATCAATGCTTTTATTTAAAAACATTATAAACGACGACAGTGAGTCTGGTCATAGTTTTTCCGATCAGCGGCGCGGAGAGCGAGAGTCCCTCGACCTGCGAAAATGATTAAGATAAGAGTGTGTTCTACCTCACATATTAGTTCTTAGAACCGATACTTACAATCACAAAACTGTCGTGGTGTATCGTGATGCCCTCTGACTAAGGCAGTGGTCGCATATGACGAGCGCCGGTGGAATCTGCTGAGATGATATGCAGAATCTCTCAGCCATTCCCACTCTCATTAATTAGATGAACTAGAAGCCGATGTCGGTTTGGGCAGTGAAGTTGGATCAGAAGGGATGCTAGGTTGTCTCGTTTAGGTAGGGATGATATCAGACTGTTGAGTTTAGTGCCGCAAGCCAATTGATGGGAGTCGACAACATAGCAGAGAATACTACCTGGAGCGTCGGGACGATCGGCGACGACGACAGTCGTATGCATAGTGGCCACGCTCGCCACACTCGAAGCAGCGATCATTCGGATCAAACGGCCTGGAGCGACGATCGCCGTATCTTCCACTGTCACGTCCGCCACGTATCCATGGCTTAGGTCGTGTTCTACCATTGCTCAATTCCACTCGAGCACGAACGCCACAAATGACACTAAACAAAATAAGGCAGTTAAGATGTTTGACTTACGTTCCATCTAAATCCCTAACCGCGTCTTCAGCATCAGCAGGGTCCTCAAATTCGATAAATGCAAAGCCAGGAGGGTTCCTGGCGACCCATACATTTCTTATTGCGCCATAGCGGTCAAAAACTCGACCGAGCTCCTTTTCCGACGTATCTCGTGGTAAATCCCCGACATACACTTTCGTGACGGAACGGGAGCGCGACATCTTTCAAAATGGCGAGGCGCAACGACTCATATTAAACAAGCATGACGCATTTTTTGCAATATTTCTGTCGTTGTGCCTCAAGTACAAAGTATATTTTTTATTCTTATGTCACATCATTTGCCAAAAGCTTCCATTGAATATCTGTTCCTTTTTCTAAATCTGTCTATGCCAATTACAAATCATATTTTGTACGTGTTGCATATGGAAATGATAATTCATGAAATGAAATTCCACATGTATTGAATATTATTTACTGTTATAGGTAAGTAAACATGGCTATTATCACATCGTCGTAAAATGGCACATTTCAACGTCCGTACCAAGACAAAGTGCATGACCTTATACTAGTAAAAAGTTATGTGGCCTATGAATATAGCATATGAACAATGCACAACGACCTGATTTTTTTATAATGACATACAGTTTACTTTTTATACAAGATTATTTGAAAGAATTTTTAAAAGGCTCGAACCCACGAAAATAGTTGCCTCATTGAACACAGTTTTCTGATCTGTTATAATTTTAACAATAACTGCCACGAAGTTGAGAATTCTGCACAAATATAATCAGTACGCTTTTTTGCATTTTACTTTTGAACATATGTCTAAAACAATGTTAGAGCCAGTTTTTAGTATTTAGTTTCAGAATGATTTTTTTATTTATGGATGTCTAAATCAAGCTGCTTAGTTATCTCAGTTAAGAAAATTTGTCATAAACTTAGAATTTTGTAATCAGAAATCACATTTGTAAATGAACTTTAATCAATGCATTGTCAAATAGGAAAAAAGGTCCCTGGTTGTTTGAAATTTCTCTAGTGGTGGTTGTGTGGATGTAGGCCTCCGGCCAATTAGATCCTGGGAAATAATTATGAATAAATAATTACCTTGGATATCTATTAACTATATAAAATCGGTAACCTATGCACTAATTTGAATTAAATACATTGTGAGTTTCTAAATCACTACCCATTGGCTTTCAACTCCATATTACAGACCAGGAAATTTACAAAATCACGTTCTTTAATAATGGTAACATTAGGTTTGCAAATTTTTAGCTCATCAGATGGCTAGAGCGTAAGGAAACATGAAATTTACAATAGTATTTCCTTATTAGATCATAGAAATTGGATAGACATTATGGTATTATTCTTTCTTGTCTTTTTTTTCTGAACTCAAATGACACGTCTGAGGAGTGGTATCATACAAGCGACGTGGCCATCGCGGTGGAATCGGATGGACGACTCCTGACATGTGATTCTGGCTTGTGATCGGTAAATAAAGCCTGGTCTGTAGTACCATTTTTCTTCGTACTAGGTCTCACCTATTCTACTTTGGTGGCAGTAGATGCGTTCAAATAAAACGAATTGAACCACGGCCCTTTTATTAAAATGGACAACAGAGGCAAAGACCTCAAATGCCAGCTTAAGTTGTTATGGCATTTTATCCGATGTCCCATAACCTGCATCCGAAGACATTTCTTGGGATTAGGTGTACTGCATCTGAAGAAGCATTGGCAACTCAGTGGACAGAAGAAGCCTTTTGGACAGCAAATAGAGAAGGAACCAGCGAAGGATAAAGCGGCTTTTCTGCAAGTCTACAAGTGCAAAGTCCCTCGTCAACTATTTGCTTGTGCCACTATCCTGCCAGATGTAGGGTGTCGGGGAGTGTCGAACTGGATATTTTACCAATCATGAACAGTGCGGAAAATCAAGCCAGAAGCTGAGGACGGCTTCACTCCTAAGGGGGAGGCAGTTTAGTTTGGCAATGTATAAGGGCGCAAATACATTGGACCACGCTGGCCTCAGACAGTCCTCTGCCTCTTTGCCTTCCAATGGCATGCAAGCAAGTTATGCAGCCGATCAGATACAGAAACGTATGAGAAGCAGTTAATAATGAGCTGCGCGGCCAGCCGGAGGACTCAGGCAGTAGGTGCCTCACACATGAATCTGGCTTTTGTTGGCCAATTAAGCTATACTGTTTTACCAGTGGTCTTTATACTAGGGCTAGTGTATTCTACAGAAGTGCTAACAGTCGGTACGGACCTTTTGAATCACGTTGGGGTCACCAAATCCACTATCATTCTGGCTTTTGAATATTTTACAAACGAAAGTACGGTAAACCGGAGTTATGGAAGAATTGATTGATTTAAACTTTCCAGTAACCAAGGTCAAAATCCAAAAAAAAAGAAAGTTTGACCAATTTCGAGCACATTTTTACGCTCGTCCTCGGTATAAAAACCAGTCTTTTTCCATAACCACATAACCACGTCACACTATCATTTTTCGTGACAACAGCCATATGCGATGTCAATGAAGTATATGACGGTTTAATTATCTTCTTCCCTAACTTCTTTTAGATGGTCCAATCAGTTACAGGTCGAGGTCGTTACCAATGGGTACGTGTCTCTTTTGCGAGAATATCATGAAGAGCGACACCCGTGCGAACAGCTCTTATAAAGTCCAAAGCAAAATCATACTCTCAGTTTGTTCCTGGCCAGTACCAGAACAACTCAGGAACATCAAATTTTACAAATTCTTTAGCAAAAATGCACTAGGTCTTTTGCAAAAAGAAAAAAAATGCTAAGACAAAAGACCTTAACACACCGAGAGAAATTGTGCAGCTAATTCGTAAATATATTTAAATTGTTTATAGTGATTATAAAATTTATCGAGCATAAGAAATAATCGTACTCACATCGGCCATAAAACGGTGAAAGTCATTGGATTTCCGGTTGGAAATGAAGGCATTGCAATTTTATTAGAATGTCGTATCTACACATTCACCATATTTAAATTTATATCTAATCTACACCAAAAGCATTTACGTGGTGAATTATAAACGGCAAATAAATTCCTTTAATACTTATGTTTTGGAATTGAATTTTCTCTGTCCTTGAGGTTCCAAAAGAGGCGTTTATTCAAAAGCAGTTCGCGGTTTATTCCAGTCTACTAAGGTGAGCATCGTACTACGCAAAAGCAACTTAGAGTGTTCATTCTAAGCATACGCTTAGACAATTGCAAGTTCTTTATTCGTCCCTCAAAATTACACTTCCTACTGTTCATGCAATTCCCTTCATGGATTACCTAAACCGTCCATTTTTAAAATTCCCTTCCTACTCATAAGTTGCAAACTTGAAACAAAACAGCATTTTAAAGTTTACCTATATATTTTTAATGTTCGTTTATGTATAGAAGCTACTGTTTAAATGCAAGTTTATATTTCCCTTCCTCTCCTCGGATAATCTTAAAGGCCCTCGTTTCAGTTATTTATTGCGTTAACACTTCGATCTGATTTATTTTGTGATCATGACAAATACTTGTATAATGAGGTATTTTGCATTCAACCTTATGGTGGAACATGTTAATAAAAATGACTGTCACACTTCATAACCTTTTCATTTCAATTAATAATTATGTCGTGCATATTGCATGCAAGTATTCTTTAGTCATTTTTTGGATGAAAGCCTTTTCACGGCGTTTTTGAATGTTGCAAAAAAAAATAAGTTCAGAGATTTCCCCCGAATGATTGCCAATGAAGTCTTCATCTGTCACTTCCTCTTACGTCCAATTATGCGGTCGTTGGTCAGTTACATTGTTTGACGCTTGGAAGTACAATATGGAATTTGAAACGGGAATTATCTCTTTAAATCGGATGGAGGTCCTATGTCTTTATCTCTTAACAGTCTCTTATTTCAAATTCACATTTTGGGTTGGAGCGGTAGTGACGATCATGAGTCCGCATTGTTCACAATATTTTTTATTTCGAATGTTTCCCAGTTTGGAACCAGTTTCAGCAATCGTTTGCTTATTATTGTTTGTGTATTTCAAGCAGTTATTCGTCTTGTGAGAAAGCTGGGTGGAATTACGCCCTGACTGTGGACCTGACGCTTTGATACAATTTCAGCATTTCCACTTGGAAAGAAATCTTAGTGAAATTGGTGATCTAACTAATGAGCTTGATTTCGGTTTGTTGCCCCCTAGCAATCCATCTCTTAAAAATACTTAGTATTCATATCTGCATCTTTTGCATAAGACGATTTTTACTCGTAGTTTTTGGCAAATTTTAATAAGCTGGAAATGCTGGGTCGAGGGCGCTTCTGTAGATTTCGACCAGACGTAAACATTTAATACCGCTTTTCATATGATCGGAACTGCCTACCTTGATCAAAAAGCTCGTTTTCACTTTTCACAACACCTTATCCTTTTTTTTAATTCTAACCAATGCTCGAAGTTACACATTAGGTTTACCAGCCTTATGTTGGCTGGTTGTATTAAGGGTTAATTTTTTTAAAAATATATATTGCTCCAAGATGCCTTCGATGTTTCTGAGAAACAGGCCTGTACCTACTGCTCTTGTAAATTCACTAGAATCGACAAATTTTTGCAGTCTAGAAAGGCTGTCAACACCCAGGGTTATTTTCCCCGAATTCTTGACGTTTCCAAGAATTCCAGTCACTTAACGGCTATAGGTTCTCCTGGGAATTTTTCTGAGCCCGATTGCTCCGACAGCCGCAGTTTCTCTTGTAACTGGTGGCACCAATATCTTCAAACTGAATACAACCTTCATTTGGGCTTCCTAGCAATTATTTCATTTTAAGATATCTGCATAGTTGTTTCTTGAAACACTTTAAGAAGTTGTTGAGGATATTCCAGTCCTGTAACCTAAGTCTAATTTCCAGATCTAGTTGATTAGCGCTTTTACTTAGTTACAGTAGTCTTACATATTTCAGATGGACTCGGAAGACGCTTCGGCTGTCGCAAATGATCCGGCGATTGCTCTAAACGATTCTGCTCAAGTCGTCTCTCAACCCTATTTCCATCAAACGTTCTTATTTATTATTGACCATGTGCACAATGAGCCACGTTTTGCTCACTTATTAGACTTTATTGATCACGAATGCCTGTGCAAGTTTCTAAAGTTGTCAGGTGAGCTTTTTTACTACCGGAAGTATTATTATAGAACAATCCCAACGAATTTTTCTGATTCTCTTTCGACGATCTCGTCAACTGTTCCGAGTAAAGAAACTTCACCTTTCGAGTGAACTCACAGCGGATGAAATTAGAGTGTCTATTGAAGAACTAGCTAAACAAGGATTTCTTTCAAGAGGTAGTCCACTTACATCACATGCAATTTTCATTTAGAATTGGCTGATGTTCCTGATTTTGAACTTTTAAGCATGCTTGAAAGAAAGGAGATTAATGACTTAGCTTTAACTTTCAAGCTTCCAATAAAGGGACTCTGCAAAAGTGGGATCATAACTAAACTAATTAAATCGTCTCGAGAGCCTTCAGTCATGTCATTTTTCGGAGCAAAAAAGGCGACTAAAACAAGCCGACTACGTCATTTGTGAGTTCTTCAAGTGCATTATTCATACTATCACTTTAAGTAAGCTAACATGCAGCATCTTTCAATAGGACTGAAAGTTCTCTCGGGCCATGCTTCCTTCTTGTAAAAGCGTACGTTGACGTTTTTGTGAGACAGCTCCTTCTGTTTTCGTTGGCATCAGAAAAAGGCGGACCTCAATCCCGTCCCATGTCTCTTCCAGCATTCCTCTCTAGTGAAATGCAAGTTGCAGTTTATAAGCTAATGTAGTCGTATGAATTACATAATTACAAATTTTGGTGTTATTTTCAGGTACAATTTGCTGCTGGTTCGTCGCGGTGAATTGAAATACCCAGACTACAAGATTTCCAGGAACTCTGCGGTGTTCCGAAGCCGTGATGATTTTTCAAAGTACGCAGATTAATTACATTGTGGTCTTCTGCATAGGTTTTGTGAATTATATTTCTTGCGACATCAATTAGACTGCCTCGTTTCGACATCCGACTACAACCAAGCGTACGAACACTTTTCGAAGTATCGTGATCTACTTTCAAGTGTCATTAGCGAGTTCGTATTACACATACATGTTTATGCTTTACAGCTAGCTTTGCGTAATTAATTCATTGCCTTGTTCTCCAGTTCTGAGTACTATCGTAATGATCTTCCGAGATTTCTGCAAACCTTCTCTTTGCCTCATCGCGCCGTCCGTCTAATTCGGCTTGGCGTGGGGATATGCGAGCGTCTGCGTCGGTATCGCGAGGCTGTAGCACTAGTTCTCATTCCACTGTCGTCCCCATGTCTTTTGAGCAGCGCCACTTCCAGGTCAGTCTGCTTTTTTATACAGCGCCTCATCCTCGACCAAGGCAACCACTGTAGGGATACTGTCTCCTGTGCAAAGACGGTAGTAGGCCTTTTTCCCACCATGTGCGGCCTGCATCCTGGCCATCGCCTTGAACTACAACGGCAAATCGGACGTGCCTTGGAGAAAAAGAATTGCTGGGGGCAGAGCCAACTTGCAGATGCAAACGAAATCCCATCAAAGTCTAAGCGTGCTCGTAAAGGTGGTAGCCAACGAGTGGAGGAGGGGGCTGATGCAACGCTGATTAAGGAGTTTGAGGAAATCTGTACTAAACTTTTGCCGCCTTTAAAAAGCGCGCCTTTAGTGAGTGAATTTTAATTTGCAGTTACCGCTTAAATTGCTTTTGTTTATATACTTCTTCAACGCAGAGTGTAGATAGGATTCATTACCACCTCTGGTAACAATAGGCCATATTCATTTGGTGTATATTTGAGTAATCATTACTGGGGATGTCGTGTTCTTGATTGGAAGTGTTTAGTAATCCGCTAGCACTAGATGCATCTGTTTGGCCAATCGGTGACTTACTTGATTTACTCATGAAAGTCGTGAGTCCGATTTCGAGGCGAGTTCACAATGGTGAACTGACCAACTGGCCCTTGGGCATTCCCGTGATGTTTCGTGAGTGCCTGTCATGCCTTGAAGGTGAAGCTCTCCGCTCCCGTGGTGGGCTCCTCTGCCGACCTCGGCGCCCACCGTCCAATGTACGTCTGGACAGAGCCAGTCGGTTCCGCCGGGGATGCCTCCACCGCCTCCTCTCTTCTGCACGTTGAAGAATGGGTTCTCAAACACTACATTCACAATATGGGCTTTGAAAAAGGTAGATGTCGGCAGATGTCTGCGCATTCACATGTTTGTCTGTTACAGCACTTTCAGTACATTACTAATTTCAAATCAATACTTAGTTTAAAATAAAATAAATTCTAGTTACTGACTATGTGCCGTGTCTTTACGATGCTGTAAACGAACCAAATATCGGATAACGATTCTAATGGTCAAGCAAATTTGCGCTTCGTCTTCATATAGGCTACCTTCTTTTTATCGTTCAGTTTTACTGGAAGAAAACACGAGAGCAAATTTTCCTCAAAAACTGTTCAAACTTGATTTGTTGAATGTGTTCCTCAAGTTAAATTGTGAAAGTTGTCTCCTTTTCAAGTAAAATCGTAGTGGTTGTCATATTTAACTTAGATTTCCTGTTAGATGGAGTTAAATGATGATCTCAAAACACTGGTCATTAATGTAAATTCAATTTAACTAACTTTAAGGATTCCACTGCGAATCGCGCGCCTACACCTCCCTCTTTGGTCTTCTTTTCTACGATCTCCTCTATACAGTCGATCGCAGGGATGCCTTCTACTCGATGCGTCAGGTGGCACCGCTTGATCTTCTCACTGGCGAGTTCTATGCCTCCCAAAAAGACGCAATAGAGGCCCGCTTGGAGATGATCTCCTCTGCCAAAGACAATTCCCACCACCATTCCTTGTCTAATTCACCTGAAGGCGACGTCGGTGTATGTTTGTTTTGATTCATTGCCTGTCGAATAGCCCATCCATGAGCACATAAGCCAAGTGGAGGCGTCACTTACTCATAACCTGTCTGAATGCCAAAAATATCCCGCAGTGTTTCTGCAAGCAAATTGCTGACGGCTCCACTTGCCTTTTTTTGTCTTATCGAACCGATTGTGAGTGATTTCGTCTCTTGTAGAGCAACTGCCCCATTGTCTTACGTTAAGGTCACTTCTTCCACATGCAGTCCTTACTCTGGCGCGTCACAATTAGTTGGAATTTGAATCAAACACAAGATCCTGAATAAAATTTGGTGGATTAAGGATAAACTGTTAACTTAAAGCATTCATTTGAAAGGTCGTTTGGGAGTTTGGTAAACGTTCCATATTTCTATCAGGGCCGTGCTGCGTGAGGGGTAAGTACCGGAACAGGAAGCGGAATCACCTGGTAGAACAATTTTTGGCCCTCACCATGAATGAACAGCCTTTATTTTTTTGATAGCCATTAGACCCAGTTTCAAAATTGCTCACAATGGTATGGACGGAGCACAAGGACGAACGCTGCATCGGCGTCAATTGGGATCTGTTTCCGGGCGGTGAGCGCGACATCTTTGTAAGTGTTTAAAGGAGTGTTTCCTGTGTGCAACGTGAATACGGTTTTCGGCACCCTAGTTGGGTTTCGCCAATGGCCGGCGTCTTTCAGTGAAATAATTCAAGCGCATTGCTTTACTAACATAAAACCGCATTGGCTTTGATCGAGGTAATGGCTGCATATTACGGGGTATTTCTTCGTCCACTAAAAATGCTTAATAAAGACAAATAAAATGTCCGTGCTTTGGTTTCTGATAAGCAGACACTTTGTACCTCTTCCAACTCATGGGTTTTAAAGCAATGCGCAGAAAGTAAAATCATTTTAGCCCTCTACCTTTGAAATATTAAATTTAATGTGTGTTTGGGTTTTTTGTACTGACAAGCTTTAGAATTTTCATCGAATATTTTTTTGCTTCTCGCGAAGGATTTGTTTTGGTGCCTCGGGCCAAAACTGGTGGCTTCAATCTGTCGTCTCCTCGTGAAGGATTACCGAAATTGGAGTTCCGGTTTGCCCGATCTCTGCGTTTGGAGTCCTTCAGTTGGGAAGGCAAAGGTTCGTTAAGCAGTACCTTATCGTCTGCCCCTATTTGCTTTCTTTCCTATGATGATTACTAGTGTGGTTAGACTGTTGGGAAGAAAAATTAGACACTGAGAAGTTGTTAGGATCGCGAATTCGGAGTTTCCGATATGCTCACGCAATGAAATACAAAAAGTGAAAACCCGTAATCAGCCGGAGAACCGTTTTGCTCGCCATTTTCTGAATGAAGTCTAGGGGTGTACGGGTCTCGTTTTAAAATTAACTTCTCAGCGTTTTCCGATTTCGGTATGCCAGCGGGTGCTTTTTCTCAGATCCCCTCCAACGCTAACCAGATCCTGTGACAGGTTTATCCATCTCATAACCTTATCGACGGATGCTACTTGCAAAGCTTCCTTTCTGTAAATGCGGGCGCATCCGGCTATTTTTAAGGAATTCCAATTAGGACACCAAATTCGAGAATCAAAGATGGGTGGTGGCTATTTACTCACACACTTGCACTCACCGGTGATGATATTGGCCTTTGTAATGTTTATTTGTAATCGGGTTTTTGAATAACACTTTTGACAGAGTCCAACTTCGACCCCTAGATAAGTCCTCATCAAATGTATCCAATTGCGATTTTTTGCGTTAAATATCAATTGATTAGTATTTAACTCACCTACCTTTGAAAAGCACGAACTAGTTCGTGTGTTAAGTTTGACAAATTTCTGTTGCTTCTGATATTTTTTTCCAGGTGAGTCGTGCTCTGTTTTTGCACTCTGTTCATGGAGTAGACGGTTACTTAACTTAGGTAAAATAAAGTCGAAGTTTGGCTTAAATGAAGACAGCTATGAAGAAAATTGTGACCTATCACTCAAACCAGTTGACACACGACAAAAGGTTGTGACAAGCTTGGCCTAATTAAGCATACCTAAAGCACTAGCTTAAAATGTGCATATGCTGAGGCGGAAATCAGATCGTTGTTCTGACTTGTCAACAAGCTTCAGGTTAAGTCAAGTTTCCAGAGGTTTCTCTTCATTTTTCTGCTTGTCTACCTGTGCATTCGAGTGACCACAAAGAGGCCTGTGACCCGTGTGAACTAAGAAATGCAGAATATCGGTGGGATTTTGAGAAGGTTTTTAATCAAAAATTGCCTTAATTCAAATTAATAATTGATTTGAATGTAGATGTTGGAAGGCCTAAAGACTGGACTGTGCCATCTAGTATCTGATGCGAATTCGCACGTCGCAAACCTTTGTTGCATCTAACGATTGAGCAGTGTGAAAACCTCAGCCATGTTTTAAAAATCCTATGACAGGTTTCAAAAGTACAATGGCTTAATGCGCAGTCCTACGAATGTGCGTTGAGATTTTCGTAAAATGTCTAATAATTGCGAAAATCACAGTGACAGACAAGTCGCGATGGAAAATTCGAATAGGTACCATCGCATCATGCGTAATCAATGCAATTGGCGGCCGAGGATTCACCCATTTTGAGTGTCGTTTGTGTGTTTAAAAAATCAAGCGAGGGACTGTGGAGGTAGCCGTGTTTCGTATTTATCTAACTTAACACAGTGCGCCGGTGTCGTGAGCGTGAACATTATGCGGCCAATTGTGAACTGGTTAGCTGACGTCCCATGGTTTCACATTAAGGGTACAGGGCAGTCAAATGTGTTGACTATTCCGAAGTGACATCATATCTGCTATGTCGTGTTTGACAGTGATATCTGGAATAGTCTATTTTTTCGTAACGACGTAATTCGTGCCATACTTTGTATGCCGTGTTTAAAACAATCTATTGAACAGTTGGTCTTTGCATGAAGTCGAAAACAAACGAAGTGAAATATCGGTACAATTTTGTGGTATAAACGGTTGAGCTCTCTGCATGTGTATATCTAAAGGCATATTTGTGCAAAATTTAACTTTCGAAAATTCACCGACTTGTGAGGAACACAAACGCCTGTCTACTAAGAAGGCTAAGAGGCGATCGGGTGTTCCAAGGTTTTAATTCCGGTAGTATGCCACAGTTCTACCATTGAAGCGTGTTCAACTTCAACTCAGGCTCAAAATAACCCAATTAATTGTTTGTTTAAAACAAGCTAGGATGAGGTAATGTAAATGGGCTATGTAGAATAGTACACTGTTACCTTTTTCAATGAATTGCTTTTGCTTAATTAGCCAGAGGCTATTTGGAATACCCTAAGATCATACAATACATGCTGTTTAAAGTTTTGTTGTGCATAGATTTAAAGGGATGTTGCGAGACCTTGACCGACTTTACCCATAAATTTTGGAGGTTTGAATTGAGACAAAACCCAAGCTGCCATTGCTCTTGTAAACTAACCCCCCTGTCGCGCCTGAGCTTTGCTTTAGGTTCCACAGGTTTCCGCGCTGTCGCAAAGTGACGGACGCCAAGTGGGCGCGTTAGCGCTTTGATGACCTCGACACAAACCTAATTGTATGTGGATTTAATTGTGTCAATAGGCGGCGCGACCCCCGACAATTAAGACAGTTGACCTGAATAAGGTCTATCACTAACTTATCGTCAAAACCGTCAGGTCCTATGTACCAGTGAAACTAGTCACGTGCATCACGTTAGTTTAAATGAGAAGAATGCAGCTCGCATGGGCTCCCATGTAATCATCTTCTCAATCGTTATTATAAGTCGGTTGAAGTTTGGACTTTAAGCTCGCTTCGATTTCAGGCAACTGAGTCACCCACCTAGACGCTGTCTTATCAGCCTCACCACTGTACATTGACAGGTCATTCAACAATCTATATGCTGACATCAACCAAGCCTGGTTTTGCACAATGACACCAAACCACTGCTCTACATTAGTGGGACGAGTCATTGATCGACGACAGCACCTCAACCCTCCATAAATAGACTGGGCCATGTTTTCCCCAACAAAATACCCACCCTCAATTGGTTATCGTTCCAACTCTTGTTTGTTGTTCTATGTCAGTATGTTCTCAAACCAGCTCATCACCGTTCCTACAACGTTGTGGCCGTCCATATTTTCCAGAATAACCACAAAATTTGCTCTACCCTCAACTGCTGATCTATGCTCTTTCAGCTTATCGAGGTAAAGGGCCCTGGTGATCAGTTATCTTGCCAACAAATCGTTTGGATAGATCAGCTTCTCTCTTTTGGAGCGGATGTGGAACTTTGTACAGTCGCTGGTATGGACATATTTTTTGAATGCTTAATTATTTTTAGCTGTGTCTCGGAATTCGTTGAAATTGAGATGATAAAGAGGAAGTTCGTTTTATAGAATATAATTTTGAATGAAAGATCCACGCCTTTTTCGACCGCGACGGGAGGAAGCGAAGAATGGCGACCACAACTTCACAAAGCAAGGGGGTAGGATGATCTGTTTATACAAGAGTAGATCGAGTTTCCGTTTACAGAAAATCATCAAAGTCGTCATCACCGTTTTCATCAAAGTCAAGATCGTTAATGCTTCGTTCAACAACCAACTTCGTTTTTACACTTTTCTTCTTCGTTTTGGTCTGAAATTAATAATGGGAACAATAATTAATAACCCACAAATGTTATATCAATTGATTGTCAAAAGGCGGAAAGGAAGTCTAAAGTACTTAAAATACGGGGAACGGACAGTCTATACTCAAAGGTAATTTCCTAGAGTTGATCCTTTCCCAGTTAAGCGCAAGAAAGTGAAAGAGTTACGACTCAATAACTCGCACGTTTATCCCCAAACACTGGAGATCCAAAAAGTCAAAACAAACGATACCAGAATAGAATACCAAATTAGTATTGATCACGCAGTCAGTACACTTTCGTAGTTTCAGAAGTCTCAACTAAAAATAGTGGACTGTTGGGGGCAATTGTAAGAATGGGGACCGCAAACATAAGTTGCAGTTCACATTTTGCAATATAACATGAGAATTTATTAAATAGTTAATGGTGGATTTTACTTTTAACGTTTTTAGCAACAGAAGACTAACCTTTACAAGTTTCTGTTTCTCCGTGATTAAGGCATTAATAGATGTCGATAAGTCCTTCAAATCATCCAGATCCACTATAAAAATAGGTCAGTTAGAAGAAATGATTTACTTTCTAACGAAATCTGTCGGATAAGGTCTTCTGCGAATTTCGAATAATGGGGAGAAGTCTTAAAGTAAAATAGTCGCGCAAGATTACCTCAAGTTTTTTGAATTTCTCAACAAGCATGTTGGATAGATCGATAAAATCCTGCTTGGTTGATACTTTACTGACATCAAATTGAGAGGAAGACTGAGGTGGAGGATCTGCAACACCGAATGAATCCATTATTAGGACACATTCTTGCTCTTTGTTGAGTTCCTCACGCTCAAGCTCGGTGAGTTGCCGAGCCCCAGATTCCTCCTGTTTCTTCTGAAATTCAGCAATCATTGCGCTCTTTTTTTCTCGTTTTGCAGCAATTTTTTGTTTAGCTGACGCTTTAGGTGGTGCCACCGACTTGGGCTTAGAGTCTTCCTTTGGTTTTAGTTCGTCATCCCACGTTTCCTAAGAAAAGTAAAAAATCAAACATGTTGTAGCTTACCGGAACATCCTCCTCATCTTCCCAGGTACCTGGAAGCTTTTTAGGCTCAATTTCATCTTCTGTTAAAAGTAAATTCATTAATTCGAGAAAAAATATACAAACCCCAATCACTCATGGTCGTTGTGCAAGGCACAGGTCAACAGGCCAATTGGTTAATTTATAACTGGCGGTATTTTTTTAGCGTAGCCTAAAAATCCTAAATGACTTCATAAAGTAAAATTGAATGCAACATTTATGCGTTTGATTAACCATTAACGCATATCATGTCATTATTTTAGTCCAAAGCACAAGACGATTTCAAGAAAGCTGTCTTTTGATTGTATATATTTCTGTCATTTGAAATATGTATTACAATATAAATTATTTTTATCTTTTTAAAAATTTGTAAAAAAAGTTTCTTGATGTATGAGAAATATGCTTAATATTTAGAAAAGAGAAACTGCAAAATTTTGATCATCGAGCTGCCTAAAGCGCATGTTGGAATTAAATCTTTGGAAAATAGCAAATCTTTCAAATTTTTTCGCAGATGCATAGCAGTGTGAAAAATTAACGAATAGTTTACCTAACCAGTATTGATTCCCTTGCATACAAACATTTCTAAAATATGATAATAAAACCTTGGTGTTTTTATATATAAAAATAGGGTTCATTAACTCCATGCTTCATGGAATAAAATTGTTTATTTACTTTTTCTGCATTAAAATCGCTTAATAATTGGTGGAGAGTGGTGGGTTTATCAAAGACGTGATTTGGTTGCGGTTGGTGTTGTCGAACTGGCGTCTCGATAAGTCTAGCTGTGAGAAGTGTTAAGTGTTCAAATTATCGAAGCGGGTTTTCCGTCATGGGTAGCCTGTTTGGAGAGATCTGCCATATATTCTGCTGCCCACCAAGGCCGTCACACATTGTTGCAAAATTTGCATTCCTTCCTCCTTCTCCAACATACACAATTGTACAGTCTCAAAACGGTGATGAGAGGCAGATTATTTTTAAACCGGAAGCAGGCCACATTAGTGATTACGCTAAGTCCCGCATGGAGGTATTTATTTATGCATAAATGCTGCAAAACTGATTGATTTTGTTTACTTATTTGTTGAAGCCATCGAATCGGTGGAGTTACTGAAAGTACGAAGCTATCGCTTTCCTTTGAGTTTGGCGTAGAATACTCATTTTAGGTGTCGTGCCTTGTAATCTCATGTTACCTTACTACCAATATACGGGATGGATTAGTGAAATGGAGGAATCGTAATGCATGTAGTTTAATTCTTGCATATTTAAAATCAGATATGATATTTTCAGCGCCTCAAGTCTACTGTCTGATCGTACTTTTCATCACTTAAATTTACTTACTTTGTGCTTTCATTGTGATCTACGCATTACTTTTCAGATATTTTAAACTCTCACGACATTTACCACCAGATATCCTGTCAAATCACAACAATCATTATATTAATTCTAAAGTGTTCCTATTCACAGTTATTTAAAGCTATCAAGCCCTCGGCTTAAATTGTAATGATATTGTAGTCACTAATGTCGTTGTTTTTAAATAGGTTTTCTATTCAGTAACAAAACGCAATTCAAGAATCGCTTGTCTTTACATACATTATGACCCAGTTGGCGCCCGTCACTCCTTTTCAACGTCAATGGGATGTGCTCATGGATCCACCACGAATCGGATTACAATTCTTTTCAGCCATGGCAACGCAGTTGACATTGGTCAGGTTTGTACCTTCCCGCTTATTGTTTGCTTACTATTCTTCATTGATGTCAAATGAGTCTTCAAACAATGTTATATGCTATCGAAATTGTGTTATTTTATCAGCGGACGTGCCACCCAACCTACCAATTTAGATGTCTTGAAAAAGTAATGTAAAATTAAGGTGTCGCAACCCATCTTTTCGTTTCAATCTGGGACCATTGGGATCACAGACGTTGTATCTCTTGCAATAAGATCAGGAGACAAAATGTAATACTTTCATGCGATTTTTGCGGCATTTGTGATGTCACTCTACTCTTAAATGGGAATTATGTTATTCAAACTATGGACAGTTTGCCGAAATCTCGGGTCATTTACTCTTGGAGGTTATAAAATATCGTTTTTAAAAACTTCTGTTTATTAATGACTACTTGCCCTCAAATGTTATCTGTGGTATCATGACGCTCAGAATTTCCTTGTTACTACCTTAGCTTGAATTTTAGGACCTTTATCTTTTATATCTAAACTTTTTCAGACTTGGGGCTTACAATTCCTTCTTAGCTCGTTTGAAATGAATTTTTTTATCCAATGAATGACAGTGGTAATGTTTATTAGATTCTTGGATATTTGGATCGTCCACCGAATAACCAGTTAGTATGGGTTAACGGTTTTTGAACGACCCATATCAATTTCCCCCATCTAAAATGTGCTTAAAAAATAGTCACATTAACTCAACCTTATATGCCCTCTGGATGATGAGTGACGGTTTCAGAAGTATTCAGTATCCCTTCACTTAATGATTCATCTAGTGTTTTTTGTATTCTGGTGCGAAGCTAAGGTAGTATTAAATAAAGCAGATGAGGCTTAAGTAAGTACACAGTTCCTAAAGTCTTTTGAATATTCTTCCTAAATTTGCCGGTGCCTTAATGTTTCCTGTGTTAACGAAATTCTTGATACGCACTTGTTTTGTTGTTAGGTAAAGTTATTATGTTTGTGACGCTGTTAACTTTATAAAGACCTGCGTGCGCCTGGTAAAAGCCTCTTTGTAGCATCGTTGTTTTATGCGATTGTGGGCCGCACTTGAACTTTATTGTTTTTTTTTCCTCATAAAGATGGCGGGTTTCCTATGCTCGTTATCGCAGCGATTCGGCGTAAACATCCTGGTGTATGATTACTCAGGTTACGGGGCAAGCACAGGCCAAACCCTGGAGGCTAATCTATACGCAGACGCAGAGGCTGCCCTGGCCGAACTCAGAGAGCGATATTTTTGCCCATTAAATCGCATTGTTCTTTATGGCCAGAGCATTGGCACCGCACCTACAGTCGAACTGGCAACTCATTACGCAGTAAGAAAATTACAGAATACATATGCGTTCATTTTGATTGGGTGGTGTTTGAACTGAAAATGTTGGCTAAGGATAATTTGTCGCCAAGGTTCGTTGAATGAGGTTCGTTATCGTTAGTCAAAGGCACATGTCTAGCCGCTTTCACGCATTAAATACGTGCCATCACTGCAGCGCCATGTAACGATCTGGCTATTTTCATCGTCTAGGAGAATCTTGCTGGTGATTCGCTGTGGAAGTGCAATGAGTGGTCTGTTTCTGATTTTTTTTTATAGACATTTTATGTAAATGCAGAGTTCAGTAAACGATCGCGCAGTTTGTTAAGCATGTGTTTTGGTAATTCACCACTGAAAATTGGCTGAAGCAGCATAATTGGCTCATTGATTACGACCTCACGTTGGATCGGTGACATTCACACTCATATGAATTTCTATGAAATATACGAACTAGCTGAAACGAATATACTTCACTTATTATTTTAAGTGAAGTAACTTGTAATTTATAATGTTTCTTTGGAGCACCATAATATTCTAAACGACTTAATTCGAAATCGAACTCAGTTTATGAACCTAATTCAGTAAAAATTGGGGATAATCAGCATGTGTTCGTGGAATTTTTATGGTTTTTAGTAGTGTTCCATAAATACTTTGCACAGCCCCTGAATCTTGATGTTTTTCAGTCCGCCGTGCCCAGGGTCAGAGTAAAGAAAATCAATTTTCTGGGTTTCTTGGGTTGGAAACCCGTGGCTTGCAAAGCAAAGTCAATCGCTTCAACCCTAACAAAAAAGAGATCTCATAGGTGTCGCCTAAAGACACTCAATTCCGGTCGTCTTAGTTATGCGTTGATTTCTTTCTGGCGGTTAACTTCAGTCCCCTTCATAATGACAAGTGGAATCTCACTTTTAGGCTAAGCCTTCATGGTTATGTCTTCTTGAGAAAGCAACTACAAGTATTCCGTACTTATTGTCATTCCTTGTTTCTCATGGACATGCCGCATTCATTAGTGTTGGCGAGTCGAGCACTTATGTTAAAAGTGGCAGGTGATTTGTTGCATTGTGTGAGTGTGTGTTGAGGCACCTTGGTTTTGTATTTTCCTTTGATTAGGTTTCTTTAAATGCAAACTCCTAATGTCCACTAAATTGGTACTTTTTTTGCCTCAGGTTGCTGGCGTGATCTTGCATTCAGCCCTAATGTCCGGTCTTCGGGTAGTATGCCCCGGAACAACCCGTCGGTTCTGCTTTGACCCATTCAACAGGTACGTTGTGGCTTGGTTTTCTTTTCACATCCACACTCGCTGTTCGCATATGCTAATTTCAACGTTCATCTAATTAACCAATTTAAAAGGTGAAACCATATTATATTACAATTTTCGCTCTGGGAAGGGGTCAATATTGCACGCTGTCCATCAATATCTCTGAGACACCTCTGTTGTATGTCAAAAACATTAATGCGGCGCCAGTTCGTTGCACCGTACCTTTCTTGCGTAAAAGTAGGGTTTTCGATGGTGCGCGGTGCGTTATCTTTATTTGCATTCACTTCACAAACCGTTAACATGAAAATGTACATTCTTTCACAAAGTTACGAAAGTAAGCCTGTTATTAATTAAAGACGCTAATGCTTTTTTGTTCTCTGCGCTGGTGACTGGCCACCTGCCAATGAAGTACTTCCGACTGAAGTTTTTGTGCTACTGACACTTAATGCACCGATATTTGTTAAGGGTGCATTATTCCAGGTCACTTTTGAAATTCGAATGTAGTCTCAAGTTCTACACTCACTGTCCACACATACAAAGCATTATCAGGTGACAGCTTGCAATGTAGCCGTGATTTTCTGTGCAATGTGTACTTTGATACCTTTCACTTTTTGTCACATTTTTGAGGCATGCTGTTTCATATTTTCGTATGCGTCCCGCGGTCCTCTTTGACGCTTAGTATTTACTGGTGCTTATCCCGTAGGTACGGGCAGAACATGAGGCGTCTTTTGCCGAAATGATATTCCCATCAAACTAGTAAATGATCTTATTGCTGCCTTCCAGCCTCTTTCCAAGTAAGCTTACGCCCCATCCCAAATCACACAAATTCGTGACTTATGCCTGCAACCACCACGATGTTATTTTAACCGACCAATATGTATTGCGCCCGCATTATACCACCTTTTTTGATGACTTAAACTGTTTGTGTAGATACAGCCAGGTTCTGTAGTCCGACGTTTCTTTGTGTAACATTATTGAACACATTAGCCTGTCTGCATACTGCATTCACCAACTGTTTTTCTCCAAATGGCATGTATTCCTTCGTCACCTAGAGATGTTGACCGCGTATAACTTTGTGATTTCTGACTCCTGGAATCCTTAAGCGTCCTCTTTTATTATTAATTAAGTCATCTATGATAAATTGCATGAGTGGTCTGCTTCACTTTTCTTAATCTAAATCAATCCTCACATAGAGTTATTTTGCATTATTTTAAAATCCAAGCGCCACCGATTTAACTGACGGTGTTGTACTTGGAATAAAGCACCCTTTCTTTTAATGTAGATGTTGTTTTTTTCCCCGAATTTAAAAGTGGTCGTTTAGAAATATTGCTGAATCTCATTATGCAGTTTTTTATCGAGGTCGTTAACAATAGAAGTGTAGCTTTTTGAGTCTATTACTATCTAATTTTTGTTCTATGTACTGATTTAAGATGTTTTTGTTATGGAAACTCATTAGCATCTGTTATTTCCCGTGGTAGAATTCATTCAAGTTAAGGTTGTTTTTTTTTAAATGTGACTCTTGAATTTTGAAATATTCGTTATAAGTACGTAAATTATCGTGATAATTCTCGGAAAAGAAATCAGCCTAATTTGAATCCGGTACTTCAGCAGGGCGTAAACAAAACCATCGTTTATTCTGATTGGTTTATTATCGCTGAGGTTGTACGAGTCCTAACAATACCACTAATAATATTTCTTTGTGACGACTTACTGCTTGATCTTTTCTGAACAATTCCAGAATCAAGTTGTCTTGGTTGTCGTAGCAACAAGCTACCAGGTTAAAAAAAATCAAGTCTTTTTTAAAACGCCCCTTGTTTAAGCCTGCACTCAGTTGTTTACATTAAAGGCTCGCAAGCATGCCTTCGTATCTACTTTCATTCTTTGTTCTCCGACACAATTGCATTGTACAAGCGCCATATATCACAACTTTGATAAATTTTCAAGCTGTCCACATCGGTTGGCAAACAGTTGCCTTTCGTTGCGTGGTTACCAATAAACTGATGTTTCTGTTGGGATTTTTAGCCAGTTTTGTTTAACTGGTAAGGTTGTTTTCAGCTTCGTTCCCACAACCTGTGCTTTAAAACAACATCCTTGCCCTAATCAATAACTAATCTTGATGGTTTTGCAAGTTTCACTTACAATTAAGGCATTGGTAATAGCCAAGTGGTGGAAATATCTGCTTGAAATCTGTTAGTGGCTTATGATTTCCCAGATGGCTGTATCAGTGCGGTGACCCAGCCAGAAATGCGGCCTCTTCTGCTAACAGGCAGAGAGAGTGCTAAGGCCCCATTCAATTTAAAGGTCAACGTTTTTGGGCTGAAAAACCATATCCCTGTTAGCAAGGCACTCAAGGCCAAGTTGAGATGTGCGTTTCTACCCAAACTTTAAATATTTGGCGGTTATGGTAAACGCAAATAGATCCCCAGCACTTTGCACTTTTTGCCTGCTGCAATTTAGGGCCTGGCTTGTAGCGTAAATTGTGTAAATGTCGACCCCATGTCTGGGACCTGCGTATTGCGTGGTGCCTTTTTTGGAGAAGCCCTTCGATGGGCAGTGTGTGTGTGTGTGTGGCTTATTAGTCAGCCTCCCGTGGCTTTAGGGCATGCATGCGCCAAGTTGACGTGTGGATTTGTTCATAATCGCCTGTATCTTTTTAGCAATGTAATTTCACTGGCCTTTTCAACCTATAGCGAATAAGAATAGCGCAGTTGGTGTGTGTCATGCAGACGAGACAGAACACCGCCACAGGTTATCGCTCTTTACGTTTAGTTGGTCTTTTTTGCTAAGTTCGACTTTTGGTTGGTTAGCCTCTGCTTTAGTAACCAGTAGGTATTGTCAATTTTGTCCCACTTACCAGGTTCGCTTACTATTTATTTCCTTCATTAATCGGAATTTGGAAAAACCAAGGCCTAATGATAGCAAGGGATAGTGGATGACGCACTGTGGTATAGTGTCATTTTGAAGGTTATTTAGGTGTCTTTCACTAGGTACGGCAAGGAACCCAAACTCAAAGACCACAATATCGTGAAATGGTCTTAACACTTCAAGTATTTATTTTCATCTGACGACTGTTCTGGTCTATATAATGCGGTGTAATCTTTCTCCTAAATCTGATGCCTAGTTACCATCAAGACACTCAACAAACTCTGCTGGCTGAATAGAGAGATATTTCTCCATGCTCTGTGCCCTCAAAGTCATGTAAGTAAAGGTGCTAACAAGAAAGCACTACAATGTCGGCCCCAATACAGCTTATATCGGCATTTCTACCCTAAGTCTGATATATTCTGCTCAGTTGCCTGCTGATTAAGCTAATTCAATCAATTGACACAGCTTTTTGCGCAAAATTCGGATGCAACCACTTTATTATCGGCGTCATATGTCACTGAAAACTCACCGACGCTATTTTAACCTCACTTGTCTTCTGTGCGGTCTTTCCACGTATAAGTTTGGACAACCCTGTGGCATCCGCGTGACGCCACATGACGTGAACATTTGGCTCACGAGTTTTCACGTGGACCGCAGCACCTTTGTCTTCTTTAGTAGGCCGCATCTGCCTACAGTGTTTGCTTGACGAAACGTATCTTCACTCATTGTACTTCTCTGTAAACATTCACCCCCATAAATATCACCGCGTCCTTTTGAATCGAGCATAACTACGGGCTTCATATTGTTTGGAGCTTTCCTGTTTTTTCCTTCAAGTTGCTTCCCCATGGACTATTCTCCCATGGAATGCCTAAATGTCTACTGTACGCATTTTTGTGGTCTAATAAGAATCTTCGTAGGGCGACCGCATTTAACTAAAATTAATGTTAGTGTCGCGATGGAGACTTTATGCAATATCTGGGTGATTTGAAGGAGGTGCGTTTATTAATTAACCCCTTAGACAGTTGTGCTGTCGCATTAGGTTGATTTCTACATGTTAGAGATATGAGTCAAAGATACGTCGTTTAAGCCTGTCTGGTATTTCGACGTACACTAGCACTATCAGCCCAAATTACATATTAACAAGTATTGCTACCATTGTTGCGTTTTCTCCCGAAACCAAAGCACGCGTTTAGGGAACCAATTCCCAAATCTCTTGTCTAATTCAATCCCAACCTTCTCAGTGCATGACAATGGCAAGACCTCCTGCAGAGAGCTTTTGTTGTCTCAGCCAAAGGTCAATTGGTACGCCAGAATGCTCAGGTTAGGTATGCCATGCGTGACCTTGACCTGATGAGACAAGTTGGATTGACGTAGATGGGGCGACCAACTGAGATGGCTTGATTACAAGAGTTCGCGAAAAAAATGCCGAAATCGCAATTAGTGGTGAACCGTCTTGGAGGGTGCTGGCTTCCCTAACACCTCGCCCTCTCGAATAAAGTAGCAACGCTCCTTCCTTGGGTCGACCTGAGTCAGTGTGCGCCGTCGCCGTCTTCGACTACTTCTCGATGGTGATGGCTGTTCCGCTGCCAGTTGGCCTCTATCTGGTTGAACTTGTGACACTGTCATTGGTGTCAGCAGCGGAAAGGTGTCTCAAGAGCAAGTCATGCAGAATGTTGGCCTGCCAATTTCGTACTGTGAGGCCTTTTCGCCATCGGAGCTGGTTGCGATGCCCTGACCACGTCTCACAACCATGCCGTGTCTGCGTACAGTCGTCCCCTCAATCCATTCGTCAGAAGTCTCGAACGTACACAACTGTCCAATCTCGAATGGTGCACCAGGTTCCATGCGTGGAGTTTTCAGACACTCAAATTGCACTGGCGACATGGTGGAATGTGTGGTGCGCAAATTACGAGTCACGATCGTTTTGGACGGCGATTTTCGGTTCAGGAGAGTCTCATGTGGCGTCGAACGGTACACCAAGATGAAACTGTGTGTGATGTTGACTGGTGTTGTCACCTTTCCAAAAATACCGCAAGTTCCGCTTCAAGGCATTGACAAAACGTTCCGCTTGTCTCTTTTACTGCCTGGAGTTAGGTGGTGAACGAGTGTACTTAATGGCGTGTTACCTGCTCCAGTGTGTTGTCCGAGGCTTCCTCCTGTTGGATGCCAAGAACCGTGACTGTACAAGCGCGGAATATCCTTGCCGCTGTCGTTGATGAATGCGACAGCGAATAAAGCATCCTCCTTGGCCATTAAGTTTTTTCTGGTGAGTGTATTTGGAGTCTGCGGATCTTGATAAACGCATTTCGGCGAAGCCCAATCATTTAACTAAATTCAGATCTAGGAGTTTCATCTAGTGTTGCCTACGTGACATGAAACATGACGGAAGGAGACTGCGTTCTACTGTATTTGTGAGTTTGGTCTGGACGAACATTCGATTGTCCTCCCCAAACCTGACCCAATCTGCTAGTCCGGCGACTACCCATATTTGACTCAAGCTGGGAATGGTCCACTTTTATGAAGTTTCACGGAAATTTGATCTCTGTAGTAACAATGCGAACATAGTTGGCAGGATTCTGTTGTAAGACAAGCATCACGTTCCTTCCTATTCTTTACAAAACTAATGCTTATAGCTCCTTACCAAAAAAGGTAGATCTGGCTCTGAAGTTAACAGCATATTACCATTTTACGGTACCAAGATGCTTTACACATCATTTTGCTCCACCACTTGTGTAGTCACTAAATTGAAATTTTGTGTTTTAGAACAGTATGTCAATTTCCTTCTCAAGCGCTCTTGAGTAGGAAAGTCCTAGACTCAAGTGCTTCGGTCTGCTGCTCTTAGTGAATCCTCTTCAGCCTTGTTTTTTCCCCTGGCTTCCATGTCACGTTTTCCTGAATGATTCATTCTTTAGTTGAGAAATTTTAGTGACTGTTGTCGCACATCCAGTCGCTCCCCTGTTTTCACAAAAGATCTGAGAACTCCTTGTGAGACTGATGGGCGAATAGGTAGTTAGATTACTGGCCCATAGTACGGACACTTTTACTCATTTAGTTTAACCCTAGGCTAGTTGTATGCAAAACGTGCCGGTGTGAGTGCTCATTTGTGTGGATTTTTTCCATAAAGGAAAAGGTATTTAAAACATTATCCCACTTCTCCGCGACTTTTAGCTCTTTGTACCTTTTCATTTGATTTGTAGTTTTCAGTAACTAAGGCCATTCGAATATTCAAATTTTTCGCCTCCTAGTCATGTGGGACGGTCTACCATGGTGAATACGTGACAATCGGTCAATTTTCACCCTAACCAACCTTTTCTTTGAGGCAGACTTTTCCATGAGGTGTAAAAAAGGGTTGTTTTCCATAATCTATTGATGCTTAAATCTATTCCGGAAGTTTGATCTATATACCATGGTGGAGTGTTTGTTTCTTCCATGACATATTAAATTTAGTGCTAAAATTACTACAGTTGATGATGATATTGTTCAGTCAGAAAATGGTCCTCTGCTTATGGCCCCAGAAGCGCACTTAAGGTCTGCTGACATCTTACTTAGCATCATTTTTCATGTGCAACCCCCGTGTGAGTTGGCCGAATGATGATGCCTGATTAGTTAATGTAGCTGGCAAAGTGATTGAAGTGTTGCAATACCAAAGTAGCATTTTCGACATAATGGACATTCGAGCCAACAGTTGGTTGACTTCATTTGCATAGTCGGTCCCTCACAGTGGTCGTTTCGCATTCGCCTCCGCCCATTTTATAGCAGTTGCAGCCTATTTATTGTTTTCATTAACAAGCCTGTAATGGCTCTTTCTGCGTTAATTTGTGCATTTACAGTCACTGTGCCGCACGATGCGTCATTGCCTTGGTGTCACGCTGCGTCGTAGCCCACAATGTGGCGATTGCTATTGGGAATGCCTGGCTTAGTGTCAAGCCTTTGTGAAGGCAGTATCGAGAAGCATTTTGGTGTTTTTGCTTATCTCCTTCGTACCTCTGAGGCAATCGGACATTCGTTCAAACCCGCGTTCTCCCAGCATGTCTTCCCATTTTGGTTGGTGTACTGAAATGTTAGCGTAACTTCCCCACATATCAACTCCATCCTTCCTTAAGTATTTGCCTGTGTCGATATTTGGCGACTTCGAACAACGAACCTACACAGAGCTGTGGGTTCTTGATTTTTTTTCAGAGGGTTGCCTTGGGGCGATCTAGCGGTCTCGCGATGTGGCACCCTTGAATTTACAAACAGCCCAGGCAACAGCCACTCCAGGTCATGGCGATAACGCAAATACTCTAAGGTAGTTCGCAACCCCTTCATTATGTTTTGTATCCTGACAAGTCTCTTAAATAAAATATTTTGTGGTGTCGCTCGTTCTAAGCGGTTCCAGCGTCCTGACAAGCATTACTTCACATATATTTTACTCTGTGGTCTTTTGGAGTTATGTAAAACAACTACCTGTTGTTTCCTCACCCGGGAATTCGGCTGCATCTGGTCGATCATAAGCACCTAATTCCTTGGCCTGGCTTACTGGGTCATTTTTGGTGGATACCGGTTAATTTCGTAGTTGGCACACACAAAAATAGTAAACTACTTGGAAAAAAACTACCATAGCCTCGACGAACACATTGCTACGCGTGTTGCTTGGCTGCTGGTACTTGCGTTAGATGGCCTTAGATTCACGAAGACGTTGGTCCGCGTTCGGAGAGCATTGTAAAGTTGATTTTTATTTCTGCACACCCAACTCATCCTTGCTGGATCAAACCCCGAGTAATCGAATTTATGGCGAGATATTCCTTTTTGAGCACGCAAAGTCGCTATTGAACATGTAGCCCAAGAAACGCCGAGTTTCCAAGTCGATTTGTAGCTGGAGGGAGGATGCTAAGGTCGTTCCTTGCGCCACTTTTCGCTTGAGCAATGTAATTTGTTTCGCATTACCTTTTAACGCGCACCAACACCTTGACGTACTTCGTCATTTTGTGCTTTATTACGACTGCAGTAATTTAACTGCAGAAATTGTTGTGTCTCATTCACCACTGTGTAGTCATGTTCTCATGTGATGGCAAGTGTGCTGTCTCCCTTCTGTGGAAGCGGAAACAAAATCGCCTGTCCGCATGCCACCTCCGCTTGGACAACGGGGTTGTGGCGAAAGTTGCAGATCGGTTGGCCCTGACAATTCACATTCTAGCTTTGCCAAAATTGTATAGATTTGACGTTATTTAAAGCAGCACCACGATGACTTGCTACTATCTTCGATTTGCTTTCCCAAACACCACCAATACGAAGATTCGTCTTGCAATTGCAACCACAGACCCGTTGCCTCTTTTGAACAACAAAGTGGTTGCCATATGAAACTTTTTAAATCCTTGGGCGGGAGAGTATTTTAGGAAGGTGCAGATAATTCAAAGTACCTGCTGCCGCATCCACTTGATTGTCGTCGTTTTGATTTAAAGCATAGACAAGGTGGAGCACATCCAGTCACCCACCCTCGTAATCCACGGCACCGATGACCACGTGATTGGCCTGCATCACGGAAAGGAGTTGTTCGCGCGCCTCCCCAACCCCCTCGAGCCTCTCTGGGTCGATGGGGCCGACCACAATGACATCGAGCTTTTTTACGAATACACCGCCCGCCTCGAAAAGTTCTTCCAGGCAAGTGACGGTTTTTTTGGCTTCCGCTAAAAATCCCACGAAACGGTCTCAGACCAATCGGTGCGCTGATTCGTTTACCCTTATGTCATTTTAGCAGTCCTAATTATATTTAACGTAGAAGCAGACAGTAAATTTGGTTTGCCTGCCAAGGTATCAATAGTCAAATGTCCTATTGTGTAGTTCCTTCTACGAGTGGAAAAAAGCAGGAAAGTGTTTAGTTATACAGGATGTCATTTTTGTCTCGAATTGCCCTAAAATAGGCGAGTTACTATTGATATCAGTTTTTTTTACAAATTTTCCTGCTCAAAAGTGCGACATCTAGTCAAATTTTTTTCTGCTTATGTCTTCAATAAATTGCTCTTAGAAATGTAAACTGGCTCTGGGGATGTCTAAAAGAGCTTCAAATAACCTAACTAAAGCGCTTAGACACTCTTTAATTTTGTTCAGATTTTTATTAAGTGCAAATTTTGCGAGGTCGAGCGCTTTAGAGTCTTTCGTAAGTGTTGTTTCAAGTCAGTGTCCATGTGCCCTTGGAATTGTATTACCGGCCTCGATTCCCATCGTACTAGCCCTATCCACTAGATATCCACAACGTTTAACTTGTTGCTAATTTCGACGTCTGAAGTCAACGACAGCCTAGGGGTTGGTGGTTTGGCCAAATTTTGGGACGAGGTCTTGTGGGCGCTGTGACCTTCGCCGTGGCTAGTCGGCGCACCGTTATGGTGAAATGAGAGCATCGCACCGAATGTACGCATTTCTTGGTGTCTAAGCGGGTTCTGTGTGTGTGTGTTCTTTAAGAAATGAGGCACACTCGACCGTCGGCCAGTGTGCGTGCGCGTGTGCCCTAACACACGTTTGCCACCTTTGCAGGAGGACATGCGCCAGACCACAACAGCGACGCCACCACCGCCCCGCTTTTCCTCCGAGCACCACCCTGGGCGGAATACGGCTGAGGGCGATCGAAATCGGTCGCCCATTTGTGGCCAAAGCACCCTTGCAACGGTAGAGGAGCATCACCAGCAGCTCAGGTCATGGGACTCTACTGCTTCGTCCTCATCCCTCAACGCCCCTGCCCGCGCAGCCACCTCTACCACCTCTAAGGATCTCCCTGAAACTAATCATTCTACCCCCCCGCCAGCTTCATCTACGAAGCTGAAGACACTTCACGCAAGTTTTATCAAGTCCAGAAGCCGTCCAAAGACTGCTGCCAGTGGTGCCGCAGGTCACACCAGTTCCTCCATATCCCTGCCGCTGGACACGAGTGGCGAGTCCGTCAAGTGTCCGTCGGACCACGGCAAGGCTGCAGAGGAGAACCGCTCTAGTTCCGGATGGTTGTTCCAGTCGGTGAAGGGGAGGTGCTCGTCCACGGCTTCCATTTCTGACAACGAGAATTCCTAAATTTATTCATTTGCCTGGTGATCGACTCCATCGCTTATTTCCTATCATTGTAAGTTTACTAATCGTCTCCTAGGCTACCAAAGGCTGGTGAGTGGAGGTTAGCTCTTGTGGACTTTCGGATTCAAATTTCGGGCGTCGTTTTCAATAGTTGAGCTAGGGTTCAGCCTGTTTCATAGTACTTTCCCGGATTTTAATCCATATTGGATCAGGTCCTTCCCAGTCGTGGCGAATTAATTAGTTTTGTTCGCAGAGATTTATTTGAAAAAACCGGAGCTTACCTCGTTTAATATCACCGAAAACTTCATTTTCTTTTAGCATGCCGATCTCTCTGCGGATTTGCCGAAAGAACCAAATCCAGATATTTGTTTCTAAATTCGTTTCGGGACCCAGTTGTCTTTTAACTTGTATTATGAAAATGGAAACGACGTTTCACTCGACCCAATTCCGCTCAAAATCGCCTTGTATGTGTGCTAACGTGTCTCCCATCTTCTATACCTTTCTTTTTACCCCCTGAAGCCCATCTCTTTTAAATGGAGAAAATGCTAACTTAGTGGTTTATTCCCGTCTGGTTGTTTTATGCATGGCGGTGGTGGGTTTTGCATGCCGTGGGTTGCTAGTTGACACGGCCTTCTGCAAATTGCGTGCCTCCACATTTCGGTGCCAGACAACCGCCGTTCCTCCTGACAATTACTTTGCGACCTAACAAGTTTGTTTTTACGACGCGCCGAAACAATTGGACGGTTTTTTCCTCACCCCCTATTTCGTCAAGTGTAAGTTTCGTCTCAATCGGCCAGGATTTGCGCTAGATCACAAGTCGGCCTACTTGAAGATTATCAGTAGCAAATATCCACAAACGTATGTGGGTTGTTGGTTCATGTGTTTGCCACCGCGCGGACAACTCTTGTCACCACCAACCGCTTTCGTTCCACATGTTATTATCTGTTCCGCATATAACGGAATCATTAAAAGCCGTAGAAATACGTATTTCTACGGTTTTGTACACGTGAGGAAGGTTTAAGTGCAAAAGCGATGGCAATGCCACTACCAGGTTTGCGCTGCGGTGCCCGTAGCACAGACGCAAAACTTCAGAGCGCAGCTAACCGACCCCTTTTTGTCAGCACGTGATGAGCCTCCCACACTGGCACTCAGGCGAAACGCGTATGAGTCAGCGCCCCCCCACACTAATGCCAGACAAGACCCCGTGTGGAGAGCTTTCATCGTCTCAGCCCACTTATATACGGCGTCAGTGGCCTTGAGCGCGAATAAGAGAGCTGGTACACTCATAGGTGCATGGACCAATAGAAAGATGATGAGGTATACGAATACAAAAGTTGGTGTGTATAAACATGAAATTGTGAGTAACATGAAAGGTAGAGTCTTGAGGATGTTGGACCACCAATAATATGCTCACCTCATTCCACATACAAATCGAAGCCCCGGGGTGACCTGCTGCCTTACGTCAGGGCCGCGCCTTCCTCCATGAAAGATGGGTAACAAACTGATTTCAAGCAATCTTTTGTGTTTTAAACATCCAATTTCCATTTATGGCCAGCAACGTCCTAAAAAACGTACCGATGATTCCCGACCATTGCGTCTTTCGCACTTGGACGTTTGGAGTCCAGTGCCTTAATCGCATTCCTTGATGATATCTTCCGAATTTCACTCCGAAGATATTGCTTGAGTGTACCGCATTTTCAGATCTTCTACGGCTTTGGATATAACTGTTTACAGCTCGCCCTGTTCGTTTATCTGATGGTGCTTTAAGTACCCACATCAGGACACACCATCGGGGGATTGTTATCGTTTGGAGTGACCTTTGTTTATTGCCAGCAATTCGAAATCGCTCCGGCGATTTGGTCCTTGGGGTCTAGGGGCTAATTGGAATTCTGCCCGAACTAAATGTGCCTCATCCACAAACCTACTCCCTGGTGTAATCAAGCAAGTGTCCACAGATCGCGTCGACACGCAAAAAACGTACCCAAATTTGTCGTGAATGTTCACTCAAATTCTGCTCACTGGATTACCACTGTACTAGCACTTTGGTCGTTTGGTCACGGCAGCAAATTACTGACAGTTTGACGAGGTGTTTGATAATGAAGATAACCGACTCAATTTTCAATGCACCATCAATTCAAGTTCAAACCTGTCTAAGGAGAAAGTTGATTCTCATGCTTGGCTGAATGCCGATAAGTAGACAAATCCAACCAGAAAATCCTGGTTTTATGTTCTAACTCTTACTAGTTTAACTATTTTTAAATTAATTAGAAAACGAGATAGTGGAAGTGACGGGTCAACTGCAACTGCTGAGGGTTGCTATGCTATGTCCCCTTGGAAATGAAGGACTTTTATTTGCATCAAAAGTGCCTGAATGGGAGATTTCACGGACAAAAAACCTTGTATTTCTACTACTCATCTAATAGGAGTCAACAATCCTGTACTCCCAAACCTGAGGTTCGTTTTGAGTGAGTTAATAATCATCCCAACGAAACTTCGAAGCGAATCAAGGTCATTTAAGGACTCATTAATGAATGTAGTCAGCTTTGGGTTTTAACAAAACTAGAAAAGGTAGTGGTAACAGCTTTGTGGAGTAATTTCCGAAGAGTTTGTTTGCGGGAAAGATACCCAATGTGAAAGCGATCCATTTACAATATGGGAATGACTTTGACAAACAAGTGAGCAGTGTTTTTATGGTACTGTTACCTGTGTATGTGTGAGGCAGAGGTAACAAGTATAAATGCTCAGCTGAAGGGGGTTCTCAAGTCAAGAAATACGTGTACATAGAGAATTACATTGTGTCAATGCAAGGAATAGCCATTTTCGAGCATTTTTTGTAAGTTGTATTCTTCAAAATCGTTTGCCACAAAAGCATTCATTTTCACGCTTAAACAAACTTTCAACTACGTAAATGTACTTCGATCGCTTAATTTAGATTTCCTCACACCTAGATCTCGATCGTGGCACATTTATGACTCACACATCTGAGGTACAAATACACACTCGCAAGCGCCACACACGACATCAACGTGGTTGAGCTCTGAAGTAAACGGTTGTGTCCACGTCCTATCCGGTCTTTTTTGTTCGTCACAGATAGCAGGGAAGTGTAATCGGGCTAGATTCAGCTCTGTGGCCCCGGCATGGTTCAAGACCACATGCTGAAACAACAACTCAAATGTCGAAATAATTCTGTGCCCACTTAGAACAAAGCCAACTAGAGACTGAGCCGAGCTGAATTTTTTCCGGAGTGAATTGCAGCCATGTGTTTAGGCTAGTTACTACTGCATACTTGCAAGTTGCCTAATTCGAGAAGCAGTAAGCATTATGAAATTAAATGCTGTGGCTATCATTACAATAGAAACTGCTTCGATTATCAACAATAGGGTAACGTACTTTCCCATGGCGGTTGAATTTGCATATCAAGAAACTTCCTGATCTTTGCAAGTGGATTTATTTTAAACCATTCTCGAAACACTTGTTGAACATTTGCCGAAAAGATGAATTTGTACTTTGAGGAGCGGTATGATGCTGCCTTAGCAGGCTGTTATAAAATCCAAATTTTAGTTGCTTGAGATTTTGTGTTTAGTGTTCTTAATTTTGGAACCCTCTTGCCTGGGTACCCCAAAAGTCCAAGCTGAATGGCGCTAAACTGCGACAGCTAAAGGCTTACTTGTAAGATTTAATATTTTGATGTACTTTTATTGTTAGCTGTAATAAAATCGACAATAAAAACATGAGAGCCAACGCGTACGCCACTCGAGTACACCTGTGGATCAAGAAAGATCTTAAAATTAAAGTCATTCAAGAAATGAAAGGTAGAAACGTTTCGGCGTCTTCCCATGTTTTTGAGTCACCGCGTCCAAGATCATTTGCCCAATAACTGCTAATAGGTTTCATTATAGCAAAAAGCATTGGGAAATCTGGATGCACTGTTGTGTCCACATCATACCTCATTAATCGAAATATAATACTTTATGCTAGAGATTAAAATAAGTCAAGTTTCGCAACAACTTATACGAAGGGTAACAGCAAGAATAACAACCTTTGGGAGGGTAAATTGTTTCAAGAAAGGTATTAGCCTAAAAGTGTTAGCCTAGCTACCTTCTAGACAAATATCCAAGATGGTATCCGAAAAAAAGGTAAACTTAAAAAAATTAAGGTATCTGATGGACTTGACAGCTTTAATTGCGTCGAAGCACTGCGCTAGAGGCCGCGTCATGACAGCTTGTTTTTGATATCCACGTCTCATAAAGTTGCTGCATGCTGCTGTTTACTTAGATTGCCGTGCATCTTTGTTTTACTTTAGGTTATAAGTAAGCCTGCCTTGTTCACCTGCTTGCAATGTTTCACGAAACATCGAAGATGCCATTTGAATCATTAAAGTTGCCAATTGTTCACTTTTCAAAAATTATATTTTACATTAAAAACAAAATCTACTTGCCACCGTAGTAAATCTTTTTATACTTTTCTAACGGCTGCATTTTCGTCGACCAGTGGTCGTAACCTTTTTCTAGTGCCTGGTTGCCTTCAGGACATGAAGATTTCATAACACCAATTATTTAAAAAATTGCACATCTTTTAAGAAGTGGTAAAATAAACTCGTTTTGCTTAATGCTCAGAAATTCGCAAATATAGTTGAAAATACAGATTGTGTAGTTATAGCTATGAATACATTGAGGTAAAAAAATATGAACAATTTTTTTTTTAAGTTCACAGCTACCAGGGTACCGAATTGAACAATTAGAGCCCACGAACTATGCGAAGACCTCAGGTTCTAGCAGGTTGACTCATTCTAGACTTGTTAAATTACAGATATTAGCCTTAATTTGCTATAATTCTGACAACAGTACCATAACCAAGTAAGCACCTGTTAATTGCGTATAAACAAGTTTATGTTTTAGGTAATTTGATTTTTCTCATGAAAGACTTAGTGCATTTAAGAACTTGGTCTGCAAGTGTGCACTATTAGTTGCCCGGTTTACATGACTGTTTACAAAGGAGTCATC